CGATCGGTTGTTAGATCGGAGTTCTTTGTGGGGGGCCGATGTAAATGGCCAGTGAGTTCTAATATGCAACGTCGAGCAGTTCCGCTTTCTTGGTTCAAGAAATGCATTGTTGGAACTAGGTTGGAGCACCAATCGGCTTTAGATTGGGGGGTTCATCTACAGCCTAACACAAGGGAAATGTCATTTATACCGATACTAAAAATATCCATTTATTAGGGAATGGAGATACTATAAGCATTCCATTGCTTATGTATGAGCGTTCCATTCAAAACAATTTTCTCTTTGATAACACCCGTCCAAGATCTCTCTTTGATAACAGCCGTCTAGGATCTATGTAATAGAGTGTCTCTTGATTGTTTCACAGAATGCGACTCAATATTCACTTGGAGGTGGGGTGGACTACTTTCGAATTGGATGGGTGAGCCGGTGAATGCCAATAATTCTTGGGGAGGTTACGTTACGTTTTTTCCGAATGAGGTTATTACGACACGCTCCAGAAGAGTTGGGAGTGCCCTTGTTGCGTGCCTCCAAAGAGAAAGAAATTACAGAAATGGCCATCATTATTCTGAATTCTAAATACTGAATAAGGCAATCACAAGTATTCTCAAAGTTTTTCGTTTAGGAGATATCTAATTGAAATGACAAATAAAAATATAACTATAATTTGACCTTTTTAATAATATTGTAAGGGTCCCTTGAATGATATTTTCCCAATTTTAAAGGCATTTGTCATTTCTTTTGTTTGAAAGATTTTTTTTCCCCCCCTTAAAGAATCAGCATGCCACAAATTTAATATGAAGAATTTAATATGAAGAAGATTGATATAAAAGAAAAAATTTACATAAGGGTGAGGCCCAACATAATCAAATTAAAGCGCAACACAAAAATTCATTAGAAAAGGTTGTTTTGATTCAATTCAATCATCTCAGACCTTAAGATGTACATAAATGATAAAAAAAATAGATGTCAACTCTTGGTAATAGTGTATCTTGTAATGTGTTATCTAAATCGTCAATTTTCAAGATCTTCAAGTGTTCAGAGATCTGCTTGATCTATATTGTTTTTTGATGTTTAACTTTTATAATTATAGATGAAAATAAATTTTCAAGCCACTGCAAGTATTTTTAATAGTTAGACAACATATTTTGGTACTACTTGAAAGGGCACTTTATTTTGATTTATTATGGCCTCAAACTTATACAAACCACACCCTTATATAAAAGGAAAAAAGTTTGCACTAGGGTGAGGCCCTAAACAATCAAATTAGGCGCAACTAAAAAATTAACTAGATAAGGTAGTTTTGATGCCCAAAAAGCTTCAAAATGGTCATCTCGACTTCAAGATATATGGACATGAAAAAGTACATTTCAAGTTTTGGAAATAGTGTACTTTGTAATATGTTTTTTGAACCGTCAATTTTCAAAAGTTCATAGATTTGCTCTATCTACTCCATATTTGAAACTCTAAATTTTATATTATTGATGAAAAATAAATTTTAAGGCCATCACAAAGATTTCCAATATCTTGACTTTATTGGATGGTGCGTCTTACTTTGGCTATTTAGGGCTTGTACAAACCACACCCTATACAAAAAGTAAAAAAATAAAATGGTGTTAGGTGTGATATCATGATTGAAGGCTATTACTTTGCAAATTAACTTCACATTTTTGGTGAATAGATGGCGGACAATCGTCCAATTAGCTAGTACTCCATCGATTGATGATACGCGCCATGACTCCTTCCCTCTTTCTTCTTCTTTTCTTTATTTGTTTTTTTTTTTGGGTGATAGAAATTCCACATTTGTATTAAGCTAGAAATTACAGAATCAGAAACAATAGTTTTAAGAAAGGAGGAACCTCCTGACAAGAGAGTCTGCCTTGATTCCTATTTACCTCGCCAACGTTTATGGCAAGATCTATATCCACGTAAGTGTAATGAAGGCCATATAAAATGGGAAAGGTTTATATACTTCTCTTACAGCATAGAAGTTCTATCCGCCCCCTATCATCCAGCCGTCTAATTTTGATCAAGAGAGCCACTCACCGTTTGATCTTAGATTCAACGTCTCAAAGTATTTTATTTTTAGTTTTTTTTATACAAATTGTATGAATATGAAAATTGGTACGTGCCATCTTCTCATTGAGGCGCACCTATAAAACATATTAAAAATAATTTTTCAATAAAATATAATAATCAAAATACCCCTTGAAACTTTTAGAGGTATTTTTATCATTTTATTTTATTGAAAATATTTTTTTTATATTTTTTGCTAGTGCGAGTTTAATAGAAGAATGGACGTCCCAAATTTAGTGTCAAAATAGTTTATAGACAAAATTAAAAATAAAATAGTATAGAGACGTGACATTGTGATTGGGGCAATCTTAGCCCTCAATTCAGAATAGACGTTTGGAAAAAGAGAAAGATAGAACTTCTATGTTGTAAAAAAAACATAGAAAGCCCCATATAAAATAGCTTACGTGGGCTTGAGACTCGGCTGTTCCCCGAATCATGCGTGAGTCTAGCTCAAGTCCATGAAAGGACGGGGAAAAAGTCATATGAAATAGGTAACAATCTAAAAAATAGAAGAGCTTGAAATAATTAAAAAATTAATAGTCGTGAGAAAATTTTATGAATAACATAAAAAATGTGCAAAACATGAAATATTTTTACAAAACAGGCCAAAAAAGTATGGTTCCTTTACATATAAGAAGATTGAAAATATATATATTGGCAATATACGCTTTTCGATTAAATGCAACAAAAAATGTAATAAAATTGCGCAACAATAAAAATAATCATCTGATTTATTGACAATACTAAGATTAAACCAATTTTATGTTTTTAAAGAAAAATAAAATTTACCCAAAATTTCAAGGGCAATTTCCCGATATTTGTGCTTAATGAGAATTGGTGCTTCAAATCCTTGTCAAAGCTTTCCTTATACAGGCCCAACCAAAGCACTAAACACATTTTGGGTTTCAACTTCGGATCAAGGAGATCAAGGCCTTTGAAAAATTTAGATAAATAGTCAATTCCGAAATTCAAAACTATGAAAGCTAAAGTCTTTTTATGTAAACAATACCTTATGGTTGGATCAAGAAAACAAATTTGGGTCTTGGAGTTGATTTTCATCAAATATCGACCATCAGTGTCAAAGGAATCGGAAAAATTCAAAATTAAGCCCAAACTTGTCCAATTCTTTGATTTACAAGATCTGTCAAATCTAGTGGTTCCCTCTTGATTCTAAGGCTCCCAATAAGGAGATCTATTGAAAATCAATCTTAGGTTTAGATTTTGGATCAAAATTTGGAGTTTTCAGGGTCCGATGAGTGAGAAGAATGAAAAAGGGGACGCATCACTTACCTAAGGCACCCCTTCTATTCTCTGATTACAGTACTCAGTTTACTTCCCCGAGTACTGTAAAACCCGGGTAAGTCTACTTTGAGTTCTACTTAGGCAAGTTTGCACAAGTTTAAAAAAGTTCATACAAGGTGCTAACCTTAAAGTAAAATGCACATTGAAAATCCATTTGAAAAAGGCTGTTCCAATGTGAAAGACTTCTACAATTAATCTCCTCAATCAAAAAGGGTATAGATATGAAGAAAAAGGATTTCAGGTCCTAAAATAATATCTTGTAACACATTATCTAGACCGTCCATTTTTAAAATGTTTAAATAGTTAGATATGCCCAAGCTACACTATTTTTGGAATTTTAATTTCTTGACTAGGTGTAAAAATGGTTTTTAGGTCATTATAAGGGTTTCTAACACCAAATATGCCTCTTAGCAAGATTTAAGATGCTGCTTGCTTTAATTTCTTAAGATTACCACCTTCCACACCGTACATATTATTTAAACACTAATCAAGACTATACAAGATCGGTTAATCCGACTAGTCAACCATTGGCCATTGTCTTGGCTTAGTCTAATCCAAAGTAAAATATGAATTTAGTTCGCAATCAATCATAAACCATGTTTGACCAATTTAGGTCGAACCAACCATTATTAACTCATTAAAAACGTTGAACAAGATTGGAATGAACAAAGGCATAGCATGAAAATTTGTACCACTAGATCATGGAACTAGTGGTCACAAGAAGAATGACCCAATATAGTTAAGGAAAATTGTTTCATACGGGCTAGACCACATCTCTACATATACAGTCTAGAAAGTGTAAAGCATCCATCTTAAAAATTGATGCAAGTAAGTGTTTAATCTAAAAACAATGGAAACCAACGGACCAAATGTTTTCTTATTAAAATTATTATTTTTATTATTTTTTTTATTTTTCATATTCATGATCTCCATGTTACAAATTACATTTCCTTAAAAATTAAGTCTTAAATTCCATCTCAAAAATAGATTTCTTAAGAGGCCCGCAATTCTACATATACGGGGGGCTTGGCCACATAGAAACCGGATCCTACAGTTAAATTTGAGATAGTATGTTATTTATTAATGGATAGTAAAACTAAAAGAACAATTGTTTCGAAGGCTGGACAGCATTTCGATCTAGAGGTATAAACCGTGCAAATAGGTGGTCCATCTAAAACAATTGTAACGGTCCACATGTTTTTTAATATAATTATTATTTCGAGTTTTAAAAAAAAAAAATCATTATTCATGATCTCCATGTTAAAGATTATATATTATTTAAAAATTAGGTTCAAATTATATTTTAAAAATATGTTTATTGCCAAGCCCGCATTTCTACAATATGAAGACATTTCTACAATATGTGGACCGGCCGCATGCTAACCGCGTCCAAACTAAAATGCACAAGGAAATCAAGAAATGAGTAATAGGCTCATAAAGCTGTAAAACAGACAATAAATCCAACAGTGAAATTTTCAAGGAAATCAGCATTTGCATTTTGGCTACTGTGGAAAATCCGACATAAAGAATCATGCGATTGCTGTTACTAGGTGTGGAGTTTGCATATCTCCATCTACGCAAAACACATCAAAATCATCAGGGAAACCCATTGACCATTTCTTTACTGTGGACAAGAAACTTGCATTGGAGTAAGAGCCTCTACAAGTGATTCAGTAGGGAGGGAGACAAATTAATCTAGCACAATGGCACAATTCTGATATCACATTACAAAATGAAACCAGAAAACCAGATTATTCGGCCATTTCATGACAAGTTTACCCAAATCACAAAGGAGAGTCATGATAGAAACAGAGCATAAGAAAATTTAAAACTTCAATGGTACAATAACACTTCTTTCCATAACCACAAGGAAAAAACCATGTCTTCTACAACTGGGCATCAGCACGAAATTCAGCGACACTGAGCATATTTAAGATCAATCATCTGCAACATGGAAGTTGAGAACAATCATGCAGGGGCTCACATCATTACATTGGTGATGCAATTTAGTTTAAGGCAAGGTTTAAGGTTTCAAATTTTTGGAAGGACAGAAACTGAAATTTCAAATTTCAGACCCATTTGAAGGGGAGTTTGTTTTTGGTAAAAAATCCGTAAAAAGCTTCCATTCAATATCTTTGCTGGATATTGGATCTGAAATTTGAAAATTAGCATTTTTTTGAGACTGCAGATTCAAAAGCCTTCTTACTACCAATCCTCAATGGCTCAACCAAGTTGGGATGTCATGAGTCATGACCAGTATTAGTATATAGGCCAATAACCCAATTCATTTCAACATGAATTGAATCCACTGAATTCAAATCAACAATACCATAATCCAATGGACCATTGGACAATGTCTATCTAAATGACAAATGTAGAGTGGACGGAACAATGTGTGACCCCAATTGTGCGTCCAACTATCCCCATCACCATCAATCTTTTCATTGGATGGTGATGAATCCAATCAATTATGGTTTTACAGTCTTATTTGACCATGGATGAATCCAATCAATTCATGGCATTTTTTGCTCACACTTTCAAGAAAAAGGCTTTTTGTTTACTTACTATTTGGCGATTGCGAACTTGTAGCAGAGAAATCACTTGAGGCCATTGGAATGGAAATAGAGAGTTGAGTAGTTGAAAAGGAGGTCCTATTCCCTCTCTCATCTTCTAAATCAGCCCAAGAATCTCTAGTTTTCGGCCAGTCATCAAAGAAGTGGCGTAGTGGTTGGCCTTCCTGCTCCTGCCCAACTTTCATCGTCTCTGTTGAACGAAATTCACTTCCCAAAAAGCAATGTTGTTGCTGCTTTGACAGCGCAGAGGGAAAGGTAGTGTTCCCTAGATCTTCTAGGTTTTGAAGCTGGGGGTAATTGTTTTGCAAAATGGAGCCATTTCTAGCTTTCGATATTGGAAAGGAAGAGACTCTTGATGGCGTGAGACGCCAATTGTTGTCCAAAGAAGCTTCCATTCCGAGAGCCCTTGCACTTCCAGAAGCTTCTGAGAAGAAACTATGCTCATCAACTTCTTTCATTCCCTGGAGATACCTGCAATGTCCATTAAGATAGGGAGAAAATCGTAAGAATGCATGGAAGAAGAACAAACCACTATAATGGTGGGAAAACCATCCATGAAGCAGTATGGACAACATGAAGAAATAAAAAAAATATGCATTATTGTAATCTATGTAAACTAATCGTGGTTCGGAACAATCACAAATAATTGAGAATATTCTCATTATGATACACCACTCTAATTGTGAACTTAGATCTTCCTACTCTGAAAATTTTTACCATAAAAAACCCTTATAAAACTAAAAGTACATTAGCAGTGTAAATTCCATGAAACAGCATATTTCTAATTTTAAATTGCTTCCTAAATTTAACATGATTCAAAAAGCCCAAGTAATCATTTTAAGTTTGAACTTGATGTTTGGAGGGTTTTGAATAACCAAAAATACTCTTTTTAAAATACATGTACAATTTATAGTCAAAAGTCATTTTTGAACATAATGAAAAAATTTTGGAGTAGAATATTCTATGTTTACCATTAGGCACACATACACACACACACACATTGTAAAAGCTTGTGGCACTAGAACTGCACCTTTCAGCATTATACATACACACACACACACACAGATGTTATCCAAGTCCATTGGCTTATACTTGCATAAGCCCATTGGAGCTAGAGGGGTTTGTTGGGCCCCAAAACTTGCACACATCTTCATTCCATCTACGTGTCAAAACAAGTAAAAAAGATGAGTTTGCAGAAAATGAGTTTGCCATTTCAGTAAATACAGGCCATCCATTCAATGGATGGTGGATCTAGGCCTTCAAGCATTCAAAATGATTTTGTTCCTTCGAAATATTTTTTTTTTAGCCTAAGAAATCCTAGAAAATCCCTCTAACCATGTGTTTTATACAATAGAATTAGCTGGTTACCTTATAAAATCGTTTTCCATACCTATATGCATGTATGTATGTATGTGTAAGGATAAGCATAAGACCTCATAACCCAAAATTTTACTTTCCATTCATAAGAGATAACTAAAGTACTAAACTACCTATGTTAACACCTAATCATCCAGACTCCCCCCTCAAGCTAGCATTATGAGGTCTCAATTAACAATATTTAGATTATAATTCTTGGGATTAGGAGTGGGGGATCGTGAAAGGCTGGAAGATCCCTATGATTGGGGGTGTAATGTCTAGACTCTGTACAATGCACATGTTAGATATCTCGATCCCAAACTTTTGCGAATTCAATCCCACACTTAAAGAATATTTGTAGTCTAGGACTATGTAGGCTCTTTAAATTGGGAAAGTCTTTATTTATAGCTAGCAAGCAATGCAGCTATATTAGTAATTAGTTGCATTGCTAGCTCAATAAATAAAGAAAATCATTAGTTTGGTCTTTAAGGTAGGGATTCCCTAACAGTGGGGATCGAGATCCCATAGTTTAAAAATCCAGATCCCTTGAAGAACCCCTTCCTAGATTGCCAAAGCAAGATTTAGGAGCATTCCCCACCTAGGTTGGGAGATCCACACAACTGTGCTTTGGATGTAAGAAATCTGTCTGATTGGTTAGTCCCATTCCACAAGAGAGAGGGATGTTTGATGATGCTCATGTTTGGAGATGTCGAAGCCTGGTGACGCGATATATGGAGATAACAGGCCCCTAATAGTGATCCAACATACCACCTGACATTGATTTTTGCAACTATGTGTATTTTGCATCCAATGATATCTTCCCATGGGACAAAGGTACTCAATCCCTGGTATGTTTTTCTTGCAATGCCCCACAACTGCTCTTGCAAGGCATCTCTCAAAAATGAATAGCAACTGAGTAATAAGGTGGCAGAAAAGTGGTATCCTATGAAGTTACAAGTAAACAATGTTCAAAGAGGCTGTCAAAACACCTAGGTGTGCCCTAGGCAGGCACCATAGGCATGCTTGCTCCTAGGCGCCCGCCTAACGCAGCCAAGGTGCCGCCTAGGTGGTGACCTCAAGGTGGGCGCCCAGGTGGCGCCATGGTGCAACTTGGCCGAAGGCGGAAAAGAGTTTTGGGGGGCGCACGGGCCCGAGGGGGCGAGGGGGGGGGGGGGGGGGATGGTAATCTAACCCCCCAAACCCCTATGCACCTAGTGCCACCCAAAAAAAAGTATAAGCCCCTAAAAAAAAGCTAAGGTCTATAAAAATGGCTGAAGGATCAAGGCTTTTTTTTCTCGCTCACAGGCCCATGTGTTCTCTCTCTATGTATAAGAAAAAGAGAAAAAAGAAGCTCTCTCACACGCACACAAACATACCCATGGACCCATATGCTCTCACTTTACATAGGAACTTCCATGTGTTCAATTTGAGCCCCTCTCTCTCATGGACTCATATTCTCTCTATCTCTACACATAAAAAGAAGGTCACATCCTCCAAGTCTTTGATGTGAAACCTCGCTCTCACATACACTGGCCAATATAGATATTTATATGACAAGGGATGCTCACCCTCTCCCACACCCACCAAAAAAAACGAACAAAAAGGTGTATCTGGGTGCCCGCCTCCATTTTTCCAACATTGCAAGTAAATGATTAGGACAGCCAGATGGGTGACAAGAACGCACATTGTGAGAAATCATTAGCAAAGGCACATAATATAAAGTTTATTCTGCAGAAATGATGAGAGCAGGGCCACGCTTCAGAAATGTATAAAACCCAAAAGTTTCATGACCTTACTATCAAAACAAACAGAAGTCTAAAAAAAAAAGAGAGAGCGAGAGAGGTTTCAATGGTTTACAAGGCTCGACAAACAGCAGAACTATTTTGTGTATCAAAATAAGAATGAATAGAAATGAATATGAACTTCATAAGAGGCATGACTCTATCAAACATGTAGATGTCCTAGGCAAAAGTGCCACACCAGCCCAATTGGGGTAGGCATGGGCAATCTCCTGTTTGATGAATTCAATACAGGAAGAGTTTGGAGAGAATCTGTTAAAATTTACATACAAGACGTGGCCAGCCTTACTTTCAGCTAAGCTGAGAAAAAAAATGCCCCACGCCAAGTAGAAACTTACAATTGAATACTGGATACAAGGAGATATGGAGTTTCTTCATTTCAAAACTTGCCAATTTGGAAATCTTAGTCCAAGAACTGCTCAGTTCCCACATGTTTTTCTTCAAGTTCAAGATGCTAACCCACAAGAAAATTAAAAAAAGCAAAAGAAAAAAAGAAAAAAAAAGAGCAATCTAAACATGCAGTTATATCAAGAATGCAAAAAAGTAAGACCATCCATAAAGACCTCCATGCTTACCAAGACCTTTTTCACTATCAATGCTAACTCAGCTAAATTGAGATAAAAACCACAAACACAAAACCCAAATACACATTTACACAAATGTGCGAATATACACAAGCACATCATCAGCAACAGACCAGAACTAACAGCCACCAGATACATAATAAGACTCAAATATTCAGGCACATGTGCATACATTCACAATCTACACACACAATGTATACACATAGACATAAGACAATCATCCATACCTGTAATCCTTGCTTCCTATCCCATAGGTGTTGTGTTCCACTTGTAACTGTGAGGTATTGCTTCCAGGGCAAAGCCCTGAAGAGCCTGAATTCGGATTGGTGATTGGGTGTAAGGGCAGGTTAGGGAAGCTACTATTTCCAGTTTGGTTGAGAGCACCACTGGTTTGCGAAGAGTGAGAAACGGTTTGCGGTTCCACAGGCTTTCTTGAACGGTTGCGGCCCCTATGCATGTGCCGCTCACAATACTTGGAGTCGGGATATGCATCCCTTGAGCACCTCCACTTTTTCCCGTCGGTTCTCCTGCACCTTCCAGGCTCTGGATCCGACTTGTTCCCATAAAAGGAACCCCAACCCACTGCAGAAAACCCCAGGATCAGTTTGACATAAAAGTGACGACAAATCATTCTCCAATGATGTGATGGTTTTCTTTTCTTTTGGAATAAATCATAAGTGTCAGGATAATGAACCAAAAGTGATGGTTTTCTTCTTTTTAGAGGGCCAAGTTGGTCTTCTGAAAAGATAATATTAAAGCGAGCCAGAAAAAGGGAAGATGGCTAAACTCACCACCTTACTTCTTTTTCCTTTTCTTTCTTTGTTTCTGGTTGGTGTTTTTTAGGGGTTCAGGGGTAACAAAAAAACTTCCCAGAATCCAACTCCATCGACTGTGTATATATTATTTTCAGAAGACATTGAGATTTTGCATGGCCGGATTTCATTGATCAAAGAAAAAAGATGGGCTGAATTTCTGTTGATTTCAGCTGGAATTCAAGGTATAGCAGCTCATGCCAGGGATTATGCCTGTTTGCATGTCAGTCTAGTTGAATTATAAAGCACGCCCTCAACAAACTCTAAGAGATGCTTGTTAAAAAATTTCCAAGAGAGAAAACTCGTTTTGCCTCATTGTTTTGGCAAATGAGCCACATTTGAACCATGGCATAAATCAATGAAAAAGTAATGGATACCCAGCTAGGAAACTGTGAGACAAGGATACAAACCTTTCCTTTTATCTGTTCTCAGATTGAATAAATAGTTATAAATTTCACAAAACAGCAAAACATGTCCAGCATAATTGATAGGCCCTCAAGCAAGTAAAAAAATCATTGACAACGAGCAATATATAACAACACAATCAAAGAAAACAACATCCCAGAAAAATAACCAAGACTCACAAAGAGAGTTTAACTATTTGAGCATAAACAAAAGGAAATAAAACAATAGCCATACATGATGGTAGCATGACAGCAAACAAATCAAAAGTGAAGTCAATGACAACAAGCAGATGTCTTCCCTAGGAAAAGCTCACTACAAATCCAAAATGGCTAAGCACCCACCAAAACCAGCCATAATACTACCACAGATCAGCAAAAGTTCCCAAAAATATAATAGTAAAAAAAATTCTAACAAATAAGGGAAAACAAGAAAAGGATTTCACTAGAAGAATGGCAAACTTTGTCCGGAAAAACCAAGCAGGGAGCCAAAAATCTGATATTAACTGCAAAACAGGTAGCAATAACATAATATTACTCAAAAAGGCAAATATAAACAGAAATAGAAGATACTTTAGAAACAGCCAAAAAACAGTAAATTTTACCAAACAAAACCCAGACTCAAACCGCAATAAGATTCTTGGCTTAGTGCTAAGGGCCCAAGGGTCATCGCACCAATGATGACCCACACAAAAAAAGAAAAAGCCCAGAATCAACAACATGTCAGCAAAATCCATAAAGAAAGGACACAAATTAAAAAATCAAAGCAGAGTTCCAAAAAACATCGAATAAGAATTTTTATTCAGTACAATTGGATTGCATTGAACAAACCCAAAAAATCCAATATAAGTATCAAACATTGAATAAAGCATAAGCATAGGAACCAGCAATACCCAGCAATCGCTATTACCTAAACTACCAAAAAAATTAAAAATAAATCACTAGCAGATGACAAGAAAAATTTTATAAAATAAAAAAAATAAAAAATAAAAATAAATAAAAATAAAAAACAAAAAAATAGATGTGCAAACAATCCCAAGGAGATACAGGTGACACTGCTAATTATTATCAAATAAACACAATAATTCCTTAATTATTATTTTTTTGAGAAATTCCTTAAATTGTTGCATAAATATGATAGAAAAACTAAGTGATCTAACAAATAAAGCAACTCTTACATAAACTAGAACACACTTTAAAAAATTTGTGAACAAACAAGCATGCCAATAAGCTAAGAAAATAGTCAAATAAAAAACAAATTAACTATGCAAATGAACTTGGGAATTGAATAAAACGAATTTAAAAGATTATTTACTGCATCCATGTTTTTGTGTAGCAGAGAAAAGACATTTACACAGGAGAGAAAAACTCTGGTTTTTTGACAGAGAGAGAAAAATTAGAGAATGGTACAGAGAGAGAGATTGACCATCTCAAAATGACCTAATTTTCATGAAAAACAAAATACCTCAGATCTTTTTCAGATAAACAAAATGCTTGTGTGTGAGCGTGTGCGTTTGGCGAGACGGAGAGAACAAAAATGGTGTACAGGAAAGTGAGATAGGGAGAACAGTGAGAGGATCAAATCGAGATTTTTTGAGAGGGGTGAACAGAATGTGAGGTGCCATATTAAAATATTGCCCCAAAGCCACTAAAACTGAGACATCGATTAATAAACAGAGAAAATAAAGAGATGAAGAGAGAGAGAGAGAGAGAGATCAGCAGTATTGGTCCAAAATCGCCAATAAAATATTGCTCTAAAATATGGCAAATTCAGAGAGAGAGAGAGAGAGGGAACGGATGAAAGAGAGTGTATCTCGTCAAAAAGTGAATATGGGAAGAGATAGTGTGTTGTAGAGAGAGATTCAAATAGAGGAGGAGCAACAAAAGATCGTCCTAGAGAGAGAACAAGGGAATGATCCAGGGATGTAGAATGACTGAAAGAATGGCCAACAAACACTGGCGACTTCATCCACCAAGAGAGAAAATGCAAGCGATAAAACCTGAAACCACCATAAGGAAAGAGAGAGAGAGAGAGACAGAGAAAGAGAGACAGAGACAGCTCCCAGAAATGGACAATGAGACATGGCCCTTACTAGTCTGCTGCTGAAAAAACCTCGCCGACATGGCCTCGAGGCTCCTCCTTATAGGAACCAAAAGATCAGGGGGAACAGGAATCCCCGCCATCAAATGCTTAAAGATCAGAGCCTGGTGCTCCAGCTCCTGCCATTGTGACGGAGTAAAAGGCGGTCGGCACCCCGAACTGTTCATGGTTTAGGGTTAGGGTTTTCCGGCTCCGGTTCCAAGAACCCAGGAAAAGTTACAGTCGAGCTGCGCTTACACATGACCATAACAAAAGTGGAGAGAGGACAAAACGAACATTTTAGCTAGGGTTTTGGCCGCCATTGTTGATGAAAGGGGGTTGGATTTAGAGAGAGAAATAAACCCTAGAGAGAGCCGCCAAATTTGGCGTGGCGATATTTAGAGGAGGATTTAGCTGAGGTTTTGGGGGCTCTGCTACTTCTGGTGGTGGTGTCGGTTGAGCACTGGAGGCTTCTTGGGAGGGGTAAGGGGAAATTTATACTTTGATTATTCAATGGAAGTTAATATTTAAATGGGTTTAAGGTTTAAATTGCAGGGTTTGTAATAAAAGAGTGTAATTAAAACAGATAAATTATTGATATTGGTATATTTACCCCTAGGAAATGAGATAATTTCAAGTATGTTGACGTTGTGGAATGATGCTTTAGTCCCTTTTGGATATTTTAAATAATTGGTGGTGTAAGTAGCCTTCGTAGTGAGGGAAATCTCATAAATGCCCGTGGTTCTATCTTGATGGCGTTTAGATGTTTGTTTGTGTTGTCGATTTGAACACACCAGAGTTTAGCTCAAATAGATGATAAGTAAAAAAAAACAGATTTAGTTGAGCTAATCAGGTACATAACAAGTACAATACTGGTTAGGAGGTGCGAGTTGATTCAAGTACAATATTTAAAAATGATATAAGATAAAATTAAAAGAACATTGTTGAAAGAACATTGTTGAAAGTAGTAAAAAAAGATATAACAATTATAATTTTAATGAATGTATGACTCTTAATAGAACACAATAAATGATGAGGATTTGGGTACCCGACCCCAAATAATTTACAAAAAAAGCTATGATGATGTTGAACTATGCTTATTTGTATTTGATTGTCTTGAACCCTAGTGTTCGAACTCATAAATAACAAGCTAAAATAATTTTCCCGCTAAGTAATGCTTACAAATAGGGCCAAGGCCTTGTGAAATAAATGAAACATCACCTCAAAGCGCATCAAAATTATAGTTATGGTGTAAAAAATCTTCAAATCCATCATCTCGAACTTAATCATTATGGTTGTGAAAAGAATTAGAATTTTAAGCTCAAAAAATAGCATATATTGTAGTGTATTATCTACACCATCCATTTTCAAGTGTTCACAAATCCATAAGACCTATATCATTTTTTTGAGCTATAAATTCCATATCAATATAGGACAAGATTTCAAGATAAGGCTTTTCTTTGTTTTCACCATGCCATGGCTTTATAGAACTGTATCGGCTAAAAATTTGTCAATTCTAAATTGAATTGGGAGGGTAATTGAGTCGAGTCCTTCTCATAATGAGGAATCTCTGCCCTAACCTCTTTAAAACCTATTAATTTACTTTAGTATTGTGTTTGACAAATATATCGCAATAGATGAGCTATTTAGTTTTCTATTTTTTCTCAATTTTATGTTTTAAATTTTTATTAAATTATCGATTCATCCGATTTGGATCGCCCAATACTAAATCAGGCACAGGACCACCCACATAGTTGATATGTGCTTTAAAACACATATTTATTCTCATGGATGAAGAAGATTGTCATTGGTATTTCAATAAGGATAGGACAATCTAGGCGCTCCTAAACAAAACAAGCATGTAATTTCACCTTTGCTCTTACTAATTTACTATTCATTGTATGAACGAGGGGTAGTTTGATAGTTACTTGAAAAAGTGTGTTCATTTTCTCTCTCTAAATTTTTTTTTTTTTTTTTTGAGCGAAGTTTTCGAATCGAAATAATTTCGTGAATTTTGTCGGGAAACAGTATGGCCGTCAAGCCACCCGTCTTTACTGTCACTCTTTCTGCAAAATATTTGGGCCCACATTTCTTTGCTCTAAAAAAAATTCTCCCTTCTTCTAGAGGGAGAGGATTGTTTTATTTATTTACTAGAGAAAATCGGTATCTTATGCCTAGAGAACCAAAAGCATACGAGTCCTTTACCTATAACTAAAAATAAAATTATTAATAAAATTAAAATATTTTCTACTCCCGTAGAAGTATACTATTCATTTACTCCTTCAGGCGAAACTCATTCCAAGGAATTTTTTTTTTCTCAAATTTTAGGGACGTGATATCTAGAATGCAACAAATTTTTGGGGACGTGATATCTAGAACGCAACAAATGACCTCAAAGAAAGAAAAAAAAAAATTAACTTCCCCCTCTCTATGTTCCTAAAAAGATATCATCCCCATATCACATCAGAACTGGCCAATTTTTTTAGGATTGATCTAGAAATTTATAAACACAAAACCTAATTTTATTTTTTAAATAATCATTTAGTTATAATTAGATAGATTCTAAAACTTTAAAATAAAAAAATCAGCCACGTTAGTGTTTCGCCCCGAGGGAGTAAGATATAGTATCCTCCCGATGAAGCATAGTATACTAGATGACTAGCTCATGATAAAAAATGGTAAATAAACAAGTTTATACATTTATTAATTTAAAAAGCAATGATCCTATAGGACCCTCCCTCACCCATGTATGTAGGACCCCAAATGAACACTATTAAAGTTGGCATGGATCTCTAAAAAAGTTATTACATGAGTGTGAGACTTGACTTTTCTATATATCCGTATCAAAATTAATGGTGATCATTTGAGGTCCTACACACATGGGTGGGGGAAGGTCCTATAGGATCATTTATCTATTTTTAAATAGGGAAATGACCTTGTGAGACCTCCCACACCTATGTGTGTAAGATCCCCAAAGGATCACCATTAAATTTGGCATAGATCTCTAGAAAAATCAAGTTTCACACCTATGCGATAACTTTTTTAGAGATATGTGACAATTTTAATGGTGATCATTTGAGATTCTATACACATGGGTGTGGGAGGGTCTCATAAGATCATTACTCTTTAAAATATTGTTTCATAAAAAGGAAATGAGATATTTTTATTGTGTGACTTAAATAAAAGGGGAAAATTCATATAGAGTCGAGGCTCTAAACAATAAAATAAGAGCTTACATAAAAAATTTCACTATAAGATGTTGTTTTGATGCCCAAATATCATCAAATTGATCATCTCGACATTGAGATGCATGGACATGAGAAAAAAATGGATTTCAAGTTTTGAAAATAATGTATTTTGTAATGTATTTTTTAACCGTCAATTTTCAAGATTTTCAAGTTTTTATAGATCAGTCTATCTATACTATTTTTTAAGTTTTAAATTTTGTAAATAAAAATAAAAATACATATTAAAGCTATCACAAAAATTTCAAGGATTAAAACCACATTTCTCAATACTATTTGAAGGGAAGCTCTAATTTGATTGTGTAGAACTTAGGCTCTATCCACACCGCACCCAAAATGAAATTATGGGAAAGTCCGAAAAGCCCCACTCTGCTTGCTCCATCTTTACCTGACATAAGTCACCATTGATGGGCGGTTTTGAGACCGGTCCGAAAACCGCCATGAAATCAATTTTCGGGAAAGAAAATGGATCTATTAGGCGTTTATCGGGTGGTTTTCCTTCAGTTCCCTAGGTCGGCGTCGTTAGGGATGGCAGTTTCCCCTTAGTTCTTTTCTATTTGGGGACCATGTAGGGACTGGAGACAGCTTGCCCTTGTAGCAAAAATGACCCACAAAAAGGTCTTATTAGCATCTGTATCCTTTATCCGGTAGCGTAAAGACACCGTACCATGTCAAAAGATAAAGTGGTCTTAAAAGCGACAAGTACGTTATCGCTCTCCATATAACATTCTCTCATACCCGCAATTATTATTATTTTTTATCATTTATATTTTTAAAAAAACTACAAAACCCTCCATAATGAACTTCCTATTCAACTTATCCTTACCAAATAAATATCCCGACTTTTTACCTCATAATATATTTTTCCTATATTAAAATTTTTTTTTGACGAAAATATTTTTTTCATACATAAAAAATTAATTTTAGCGAGCTATTCACGTGGATTTACGCACAGTACCAAAAGGTACATGGGCTGCAGGATGGCCATGTACCTTGCAGAACCCCATTAAACTAAAATAAGTGTTGGGACCGCCTTCATTTTCTGTCAAACCGCATATAGATCTACTGGACCGCATATATAGATCTGTTGGACTGCATATATAGATCTATCGGACCGCATATATAGATTTGTTGGACTGCATATATAGATCTATCGGACCGCATATATGAAAGTGTCGAACCGCCATATAGATATGCCGGACCGCCATATAGATCTGTCGGACCACATATTTGTTTAGGAATAGAAGTGCTGAACCGCCAAAGGGATATGCCAGACCGCATTTTGTCCGGGAAAAAAGGTGCTAAACCACATTTTCATCCAGAAAGAATAGTGCCAGATTGCCATGTTTATATTTCGAACCACACTTTTGCTTAGAGGAGAGAGAAGCATGGGTAAAAGTGAAAAAATAGTAGTTTAGTCTTTCTTTTATTTTATTTTTTGGTCGGAGGTATTTATTAGAAAATTATATTTTGGAGTAAAAAGTGCAAAAAAAAAAAAAAACTTTGGTTGGGGGTAAGTTGCATAAGAAGTCTATTATTGGGGTTATTTGTATTTTTCTCTATTTTTTATATAAAGAAATCACAATTATTATTGAGTGAGATTTAAAATCGGGTGGTCGTAGTGTGTTGTTTAGACACAAAGCCCAAAATAAAATTTATCAAATATTGTGAATGATTTTCATCTAATAGATTTCAGACCCAACGGTTAAAAGCAATTTCATCATTATTGTACTAAAAACAAGTAGTTTTAGAGTATATAGTCTCTTCTTTTTTTTTTTCTCCTATCTCTATATGTATAATTTAAAATAAAATACAAATTTAATCTGAAATATGGTCCCTCAAATCGAACCTCCCTTCTCTTAACTCTTACCTCTGCTACTATCTCTCCCCCCCTTGTCCTCTTTTATTTCTCTCTCTAAAACTCCATTGGCTCTTAGCTCTCTCCCCCTTCCCTTTCTCTCTCTTTAAAAATACCCTCACGAAAAACTCCCCCACAAAACTCCGCTGCGAGCTCGAGTTGTTCTTCTCCCTTGTATGCAGCCATCTTCAAGAAATTAGGGATTTTATACCAACATAGCCATCATCAAGAAATTAAAGATTTCAAACCCAAAGCAGTCATTATTAAGAAATTAGGGATTTCATACTAAACACTACCAATCATCAATTACGGATTTCAGAAGCTTGGAGATTTCATGCCATCATCAAATATATGTTTTTAAGGTTTAGGGT